CCAGCAACGGGATCTAGAATTTTTGGCTCTGTGTTGGTCAAGGAGATTGAACTGTAATTTTCTGTTCCTTTTCTGTTATTATTGACCTTGTTAGATATTGGTATTAAGACCATGCTAGCATCAAAATGTGAGCTGAGGATTCTCCCTTCTCCTCTCAGGGACAGTGTGTATTGTATAGACTCTGTTTCTTTTCTTTTTTTCCTTTTTTTTTTTTCTTTTTCCGTGTCTGGCAACGGATCGCAACCCTCAGTGTTGCCCCCGTACTGGACCGGGGACCGGCAACGGGATTGCAACCCCCGTTGTTGCTCCCGCGCCTCGCTCAGCCAGTGAGCGGGAACCGGTCTGTATGTGGGATCCGAACCCTCGGCGGGAGTGCCACCACGCTCCCAAGCGGCACACTATAGCAGTGCGCCACTGGGCCGGCCCTAGACTCTGCTTCTTATGTATTGCTTAATAGTATTTGCTGATGAAGACATCTTGTCCAGGAGTTTTCTTTATGGACTCAATGTTTTTAATAGTTATGAGAATATTTAGATTTTTAAAATTTTCATTGTGTTTATTTTAATAAGTTGCATTTTTGTAGGAATTTTTCTATTTCAACTACATTTTCAAGTTTATTGTCATAAATTCATAATAATCTTATTTTTCTATGTTAGTAGGATGTGATATCCTTGCTTTCATTACTGTCTCCTCCCAAATCTTGACCCAATAATTTTTTACTGTTAGTTCTCTAACACCTACACAGTGCATGTGCATATGTGTGTGCATGTACTAGATGTTCCAGCTGTTTTGTTGGGCTGTCTGGTCCACTATACCTGTGAACCAAAGACCTTCAGAAGCACTTAAATTGCACAACATCTGTAGGCCCTGTTCCAAGTCAAACACTGTTTCTTCTCTCAAAAAATATGTGTCTGTTAGGAGAAACAGACATGTGCATAGTCAACTCTAACAGGAGGGGAAAGACAAATGTCATAAAAATTGTAAAGGTAAGGGCTGTGTGAAAGTTCCCTAGACTGAAAGAACCCAAACTGTTCACACAGCAAAGAACCTCAATCTTCTAGATTGAAGGTTCTCGGTGTGGTCTCTGCACCAGCAGCTACAATACCACCTGGGAGCTTGTTGATACCACCTGGAAGCTTGTTAGAAATGCAGATCATCAGCCCCAAACCAGACCTACTGAATCAGAAACTTGGCAGGGGAGGGGAGTATAACACTTGTGTTTTAGCAAGTCTTTCAGGTGATTTGGATACATGCTAAAATTTGAAAAACAGTGGGCAGTGTGGTCTCTGCACCAGCAGCTACAATACCACCTGGGAGCTTGTTGATACCAGCTGGAAGCTTGTTAGAAATGCAGATCATCAGCCCCAAACCAGACCTACTGAATCAGAAACTTGGCAGGGGAGGGGAGTACAACAGTTGTGTTTTAGCAAGTCTTTCAGGTGATTTGGATACATGCTAAAATTTGAAAAACAGTGGGCCCAGCATTTCTCAATTATTTACTGCATAATAGATTCATCTGAGGAGGTTTTTGTGTTTTTTAAAAATGCAAATACATAGACTCCTCCCCAGAATGATTAAATCAATATTTTAAGCCCATTTCAGCTGATTGTAATGTGTACACAGCTTGGAGAACCCATGTTCTAGATCAAGATTTCTCAACCTCAGCACAATTGACATTTTGGAACAGATGATTGTTGTTGCAGGGGCTGTTCTGTGCATTATAGGATGTCTAGCAGCATCCCTGGCCTGTACCCACTACATACCTGTAACACCCCTGCCCGGTTGTGACAACCAACAATGTCGTCAAACATTGTCAAATGTCTAGTTACCACAGACCCCACAGTTCTAGATCAAATGAGGTGGCTGCCACAGGGCTATAGATTAAGTACACTGATATGGTCCTTTATTCTCTCTCTCAATTCTCTTGATTGGAGACAGAGAAATGGAGTGAGAATAGAATTTTTTAAAGGGGATACTCTGTTGCTTAATACAGAACTGTTTCCTCAAGTTGCATAACGAAACAAGTAGTAAAGCTGACCATGTTGTCTTCTCCTTCGTCCCAAATTGTTGGTACAGAGCCTGTTTAAAGCCATCCGAAGACCATATTTTCTACAAAAGTTGTCTAAGAAGCCAACTTCCCAGGAGTTGATGTGGCAGAAACATGGATTTTGGTACTAGGAAGAACATGATTTAGTTGCTACGGGATAATGGAAAATTCATTCCATCTTTCTGGGGCTCTGTTTCCCTGTCTGTAAATGAGAAAAAAGCAATGCATTCCTTGGAGGATTGACTGCAACTATAAATGTGTTAGTTGCCCACCTAAGGAAAAACGATCAACCTCAGGATATTAGAGATGAATGAGATCATATAATCTAGTTTCCCCAATTTTAAGTTTCAGAAGCTGGAGCCCAGAGAAGTTGAGTGGTTTGCCAAAGACTACACAGTATGTACCAAAGTACATACTAGAGCACAGGATGTAACCAAAGTACCCTGACACTAAGTTTGTTCTTTTATGTCCTATAATGTACTAGCTCCTTAAAGCTAATACTAGAAATTAGTTCTTGTTAAGTACAATGACAGCATAATCAACAAGCAGTGTGCTGAGGTGGACTAAGAGCTGAGATGGAAGTCAGGAGACATCCATTCAGATCTTGGCTCTGCCTTTGGCTGCCGCATGCCCTGGGGACACCAATGGACCTCAGTTTCTTCATCTAGGGAGAGGGTCATAGAGAGGTTGAATTAATTGAGCTCTGAGGTCCATCTTGGCTCTGAAAAGCTATATTATATTTGGGCTTCCTCTGCTTACTTAGTACAAGGAAGGAGAGGAAAACTTTAGAAAAAATGGAATTGAGAGATAATACAAATGTTTCTACAAACATTTTGAAGACCCCATGTGTATGTGTGTGTGCATGTGTGTGTATATACCCACAATTTGATTATTGAGAAAAACAAGAGGAAGGATGTATAGATCTTCATGATTTCAAAGTGCTTTCAAATTTATTAGCTCAATTGCTCTTCCTAGTAATAGATAGTCACAGGGAAGGATTTTGTTTTGCAGCAGAGGTTAGATATAAGCATCCTCTAAGTATCTGTCCAGAAATGAGAATGTTGGATGAAGAAAGGCAAGAGCTGGAACTGGAGACCTGTGGAGAGGCTAGTTCACTATTTTACTTGAGGCCAACATTGTGGTGAGGCTATTAAAATCTAATACAATCTTGGACAGCAACAATAGGAATAAATACAATGTAGAGAAAGAATACTAGCTTGAGATCAGAAGACTTCTGTGCAAGCAACTGAGTGGCCTGGCCCATAGTGCTTCCCTGGGTAATGGGGTGGTGCAACCAGAGTGTCTCTGATGCTCTTCCATCTCCATGGCAACACAGCTCACCAGAATGTTCTGTATCTACACTGTCCAATGCAGTAACCATTAGCTACGTATGTCTATTGAGCAATGTGGCTGGTGTAATTTCAATTAATTTAAATGTGAATAGCCACATGTAGCTAGTGGCTATCATACTGGACAGCACAACTCTATAGTGAACAAAATTAAAAAAATAAAGCCTCTTTTGCTTTTAGTTGGTGGGGCACATCTAAGATTCTTTGTATTTATTCCAGGCCTCAAACCTTAGGAAGTCTATTGACAAACTGGAACGCATACAAAGGAGAATGAACAGGATTGGGACGGTTCTGGAAAGTAGGCATTAAGAAAGATGAAAGAAATAAGAGTTTTTAAAAAGTGGAATTACTAAAACTAGGGTTGCCTTCTATAAGAGTTATTAAATTTAACTGCAAAGTAGCAGAAACAGAGCTGCTGTATGGGAATTACCAAGCAGATAATTTCAACCAGTATGAAAACTGTCTTTCCCACAAGCAAAGATATGTGACATTAGAATGTACCATGGGCTGATGGAGGCCTGTTGTACTACTCTTCTCAGGCTGCCATAACAAGATGCCACAAACTGGGGCAGCTTAAACAACAGAAATTTATTTTCTCACAATTCTGAATGCTCAATGTCTGAGATCAACATGTTTGCAGGGTTGGTTTCTCCTGAGGTCTCTCCTTGGCTTACAGACAGCTGTCTTCTCCCTGTGTGTTCACATGGTCTTTCCCCTGTGTATGCCCATGTCATAATCTCCTCTTCTCATAGGAACACCAGTCATACTGGATTAGGGCCCATCCTGATGAGCACATTCAACCTCAACTATCTCTTTAAAGTTTCTATCTCCAAATACAGTCACGTTCTGAGATAGTGTGGGTTAGGGCTTCAACGTAGGAATTTTGAGGGAACAGAGTTCAGTACACAACACCTACCAATGAAGGTGTGCAAAACAGTGGTTTGATGGTCACTTACCAGGGATATTATAGAGGACCTCATTCTCTATCGGTTGCAGTGGAGGACTAGTTTGGGCACCTTCTAATTACAAGATTAGGGAGGAAGGCAGGATAAAATCCAGCTGGAGGAAATGATGAAAGCTTTATGGAGTGACCATAGTTTCAAACTGACATTAAAGTGTCATAGATTTCAGCAGAAAAAGGTGATGTGAAAGTGGGGGAGCCAGGATTCAAGTCAGAGGGAAGAGTTTAACAAAAGGCAGGGAGCGAGGACAGTTTAGGGTGTGCTCATGGAAAGGCACCTGCCTTGGCATTTCTAAAATAGAGGATGTGAGTTTGGGAGTTGGTAAGATGGATTAGATGACTTATTTGGGGGGTAACTTGAATTACCTGAACTCCTTAAAGTCTCTTGGCAGAATAAAGCCCCACTCAGAACCCTGCTGTGTGTGCTTGTATTTGGCCATGGCTGACATAGCCCTTTGAGTGAGTGAGCTCTTCAGATGCCTTATTTCATCAGCAGCCCCAAAAAGCAGTTACTTACAAATTTCTTGGAAGAGAAAGCTCTCTCAAGTGCTTTGCAGAGTTGTCTGTCCTGCTATCACAAAATGTTCTGAAATTGTTGAGGCTCAAGCCGTGAGACTGAAGTGGTTTTGTTCTCTCCCTACAGGTGTTGGCCTTCTTGAAGGTCTTGGCCAGAGATCTGACCATTACAAATGTGTCAGGAATGGAGGAACCTGTCACTTTTCCTCTTGCCCACTCTATACCAAAATTCAGGGCACCTGTTACAGCAAGCGGGCCAAGTGCTGCCTGTGAGCTGGGAGTGACTGGGAGAAAGAATGCCGAAGCCAAGTGACAGATTTGTACTGTTTTAATAAAGGAAGACTTTTCTCAAAGCATGCATCCTTCAGACCAAAATAAATCTTGTGTCTCAGTGTGGAAGAGGTTAAGAAAGTGTGGGGGTTAGGGTCTGGGGCTGGACCATGAGAAAGGCCAGACCGCACAGCATGCCTCACACAGGGGAATGATGGCCTTGAGTAGTGTCACTTCCACTTTATTTTATCACCAAACCAGCATGTGAACATGCAGAGGGTCCACATGAGATCAAAGATGTGTGATGAAGCAAGTGGATGCAGCTTTGGGGTCCCCCTGGTCTTGGCAAAGCCTCACACCAAATTCAGTGGTCTCTGCAGTCTGCCAAGAACAGCTGCCTTTTCTCCTTCTGGGGCTAAGGGCAGTGTGTTGGTTAACTTAGCATTTGAGAATCTCCATAGTGACCATAAAAATATTTCACAGGAGTTTCATCCTCTAGGGCTAATGTCTGTGTTCCCAGATCACCATTTTTTACTCCAACGCAATTGCATAAACTATTTACGTAGCTCTCACAGCTACATCTCATTTCATTCCCTCCACACTGTGAGGCCTACAGATGCCCATTCGTGGAGGAAAATGGGTTGTAGTCCCTTTTCTCCAATAAATCTTTACAACTTTACGTAGCTCTCACAGCTACATCTCATTTCATTCCCTCCACACTGTGAGGCCTGCAGATGCCCATTCGTGGAGGAAAATGGGTTGTAGTCCCTTTTCTCCAATAAATCTTTACAACTCCTAATAATGCATATGGTGCTGTTGTCTTAATCTGGCAACAGCAATTTCATCATCCCCTTCTGTAAAGTATAAACAAACAACAACCAACCATTATAAAAGTTTCTACCCCCAGCTCGCAGCAAAAGATTTAGATTTAACACCCCTCCTCTGCCAGGGAAAGGCTGAAAGAGGAACATTCTGGTTTATGCAGTGGACGTGAACCTCTACTCAGGCACTCTTGGTAACCCAGACACAACATGGCATCATCATTACAGTGCATCTAGGTTCTCCATACCCCTGAAAAGCTAAGAAATAATCCAGGATCATTCTACTTTGAGAAGTAATCTCAGGCGTGCTATCATTTTTCATTTTCAAGATACTTAAGTCCTCCCTGGTAGCATTTCTCTGGATGGTAAGTTAAAGACAAGTTCCCCGTGAGCCTCCCCATTTAGTACAACCAGCATTTTGGTTTCCCAAGACCTGATTCTTAAGGGGCAAAAAATGAATAAATAAAAACATTTCTGTGTTTACCTCACATTCTGTTATACTTCTCACTGTGTAACAGAGACGAAAAAAGGATTATTCAAAGCACCATGAATGCGATGCGAAGCCCAAAGGGACTGCACCTCAGCAACTCCTCTGTTAGGAGAAAACTGGGTGCAGCCCTAATTCAAAATTAGCTTCTGTTTTTT